AACATAGTGAGACCTTATCTCCACACACACACAAAAAATCATCTCTACAAAAACTAAAAAAATTAGCTGGGCATGGTGGCACATGGCTGTAGTCCCAGTTACTCAGGAGGCTGAGGCAGGAAGATTGCCTGAGCCCAGGAGGTCAAGGCTATGGTGAGCTGTGATAGTGCTACTACACTCCAGCCTGATGGAATGCAATGACAGAGTGAGACCTCACACACACAAAAATGTGCATACTATTCTAATCTACATGTGTTAACTACACTAAAATAAACATATTCTACAGAGTTGATATTGATGAAAACAATAATGGTTAAACTCATCCCATGCCTTGGGATATTTTAAGAATAATTTCAATTAGAAGGTTTAAAACTATATTTTTTAATCTTTATAGTAAAGAGAAAAGCTAGTATATGAATTATACTCATTGATTCTAGCTTTTCACAGTCAGAATAGTAGTGCACTGGAGTTTTTCTAGAGTCCATGGCAAGTTCATTCTGAGATACATAACTAAGAAGAAAGTACATGAAAGAGGCATAGTCATTTAATGAATTCCAGAATTAACTCTGTCTCACTGTGACACAATTTCCTACAGCTAATCAAGTAATAACGATGGTCTCACTTAGAGTCATTGATACTTTATTGCACTATCTCATTACTTTTCACCATACCCCTGTCAGGTAGGTACTAGTATCCCCATTTTACAGATGAAGAGGCCAAGGTTACTATAGGAGGATGACTTGCCCAAGGTTACTCAGTAAGTAGGTAACAGATCAGAGATTGGTATCCAGTTCTATCAGACTCTAACCCCATGCTATGAATTCTAAATCTCTGTATCATACTGCCGCTCTGTTTCTACTAAAGAGACTTCCTTTAAAAAAAATTAAAATAAGTTTTTTTTCTCTGCCAAACTGCAAGCTCTTCTTAGGGTAAGAATCTGACTCTACCCAATGGCTTGTCTTAATTAGAATTAAAGCACAAATGCAGGTTCTAAGCTTCTCTAAAGAATGCCATAGAGAGAAGTCTGCCTCACTTATTTAAAGAGTTCCACTTCTAATCCAGAATTTAGGCAACTTCACAGTAGGGATCCTTGGCCCCAGTTTCCTGTCACCAGAGGAGTTCCTAAACTACCTCACAGAGAGTGATTTTATTTTTTTTTTAAATGGAGTGGGGGTGAAGTGCCATGACTCACACCTGTAATCCCAACACTTTGGAAGGCAGAGGCGGGAGAATCACTTGAGCCCAGGAGTTCAAGACCAGCCTAGGCAACACAGCAAGACCTCCTCTGTACAAAACTTTTTTTTTTTTTTTTGAGTTGGAGTCTTACTCAGTCACCCAGACTGGAGTGCAGTGGTCACTCCCAGCCACCGCAGCCTCAACCTGCTGGGCTCCGGCAATCCTTCCACTTCAGCCTTCCAAGTAGCTGGAACTACGGGCCCACACTACCATGCCAGGCTCATTTTTTTGATTTATTGTTAGAGATGAGGTCTCACCAAATTGCCCAGGCAGGTCTCGAACCCGCGGGCTCAGGCAATTCACTCACCTCGGCCTCCCAAAGCGTGGGATTACAGGCTGAGCCACCGAGCCCGGCAAAACATTTTTTTTTAAGAATTAAAAAATACAGTGGAAACAAAAAGGGAGAAATTATATGGCAGTCAACCTAGAGTTTTGACCTCTGACAGTACAAAAGCAAGAAAATTTATTCATAAATGCCCTCTGAGCACACAGAAATCCACAACTTCCCATGGTTTATAGATTTTTCAGCCTTCCTTTCCCAGCCCATATCAGCACCCCCAATTTCCATGGCAGCACGATGGAGCAGGGAGACAGCTCTCAATGGTTTCCTTGCCTTATGATCATCCTACACCCTTCCTACCCAAGGGCAGCAGAGATTATATCCTCTCCCTGCTTCTGCTTTTGAAATTGAAATACTCCCTAAATAGTGGCTACCTGAAATAAACACTACATTTCCCACATGCTCCCATGCAGTAAGGTGTGGGTATGTGATTAAGTCCTAGCTAACAGGGTACAGGCAAAAGTGTCTTGAGCAATATCCTAAGTAACACCAAGCATGTGTCCTTTGCTTTTCTTTACCCTGCTCCTCCTTTCTGCTGACTGAACGAGAGGTGTCATAACTGGAGAGTCTAGGCATTCTTCTTGGACCCACGAAATAACTGTCACTCCCTAGGGATGGTAGACCAGAAAACTGAAAGGAACCAAGGCCCTGGGCTCTGGACTGCTGACTTAAGTGAAAGAATAAAACTACGCGTGTTTTGTGTAAACTGTTGATCCCATTTTAAGTAGATTCTCCTTCAGAGGAAATATCTGGTACCAAAAATAATCCGATAATAAGGAACTCTTCTGTGGCTCCAGAATTAGTCCCTGGCGATGCAGAATACCAGGAATAAACTTCCCTCCTTCCTGGATGTCCCCATTCTAAGCATCTCAATTTTGAAGACTGCCAATCTGCCCTACCTCCTCTCTCACTCCTCCACACTCCTGTCCAAATGGAAGACACTGTCAAAGCAGCAACATAATAGGCATGGAGGCACATGCCTGTAGTTATAGCTACTCCAGAGGCTGAGGCAGGAGGATTGCTTGAGCCCAGGAATTCAAGGCTACAGTGAACTATGATCGTACCACTGTACTCCAGCCTGGACAACAGAGTGAGACGCTGTCTTTAAAAACTAAAAACAAAAAAAAAAAGGCAGTGGCACAGGGTGACCAAGATGTTTCCAGCTAAATTTGACTCTTACCTGGCAGCCGATTCCATAGCAAAGCAACCCTGCAAAGCCAGTCATCGTCTCTCACACCAGCCACTCGGCCATTGGGGTAATTTGGGGACAATCATAAGAGCTAGTATTTTCTGAGTGCTTATTCTATGCCAAACTCTGGACTTCTCAGCAACTCCAAGGTTAACTCCAATCTGTTATTGGGCCTGTTTTATAGATAAGGAACGTGAGGTACAGAGAGGTTAAGTAATATGCCTAAGAAGTCTCAAAGCCAGGATTCAAACCCACAGGAACCTGCCTGGTAGCCTGTACACATGCCCACTACTCCACACTGCCTCTCAGAGGAGATGAGGAGAAAAAGAAAGGTGATTTTTAAAAACAGACACTCTTATCTCTAAAATGCCCATATCTCATTAGAAACTTTAATTCTGCCTTTTTCTCATAACACCAGAAAATTCCTATCATTTTCCAGACTTTGAATAAAAAGATCTCGTTTCAGATGTGTTGTGCCCTGTACATTCCAAAGTGACCTCCCAACCATCGATAATAGCAGAGCAGGTGGCCAAGAGGAGACACCTAGTGAAAATGTTTTAAAATCACCCCTGACCTCAGCAAGTGACAAAGACAGAAACCGATTCATGGAAGTGAAAGGCAATCTCAAGGCAGAAATTACACATTCTTGTACCAAGACACCATCGGTGTTTTGTTTGAGGGGCCAAAGTTCTGGAAAACAATCCAAACTATTTGCACAAGGGTACTTAAAGGGATCTGGGGAGTCCTCTGGTGTGATGCAGAGGCTCCAAATATTGGGCAGGGCTGCAGGACTCACTGTCTGAGCCCACCCTGGCCCAGTTCTCAGGGGAGGGCACGTGTGAGACTCAGGAGCACAGTGCCATGTTGCCAGTTGAGCATACTGCATCTCTGACAATGCCACCTGCCTACACTCAGCAAGGATCACTTTACTTTTCGCTGGAGGGTGGCGGTGCAGCCACTAAAGTGTCAATCAGTGCTAAATCACATCTCAGACTCTTCAACACTCAAGTGCTTTCTTTTTACCTAAACCCGGCTCACCAGGATGGCCCATTGGTCCTAAGACACAACACCCCAGAAATGTGCCATTTCTTACCAACTTCAACCTTGCCGAGCCTAAAAGTGGAGGGGAAAAAAGAGTAAAATGAAATAAAACACACACAAACTTTCCAGATAAGAAGTTGCAAAGGAAATGGGTGAAGCAGGTCTGGTTGGGATAGACTGAGATAAAATGGTGAACACGTGGCCCAGCTATGAAAACAGCTGCTCTCAGCTACAAATGACTGTTCTAACATGAAAGTGAGGCCATTTCTCAGCAAAGTTGAAGTTGGAAATGCAGATGTCTATGTGAAATCTCCCAGTTCTAAAATGTTGACATCAAATTCACAAAATGTTTAAGACATCCTGGGGACTAACTACAGCTGATGAGGTCCTGGAGACCCCATTTGCAAACTATCTTTTAGACATCAGCCCCAAATACATCCAAGGGCTACCTTACACATGATCAAAAGTCACCACCAGCAGGTTTGGCATCCCTGGGTGGAATCAAGGATCCCAAACCAGATGCAAGAACTCTGATAACCAATCACTTGGAGTCTGTCCTGTATCTACCCAGAAAATAGAGCGATTTAAACCAGGATCTGAGACTCCCATCTTCAACCACTTCTTTCAGAGAGGGAGAAGGCCCAAGGGACTAACACATTCGCCCTTCTAGGGGATGCACCATCTGCAGAAGAGGCAACCACCTGCAGAGACCTCTTCAAGACAGAGGAAGAGGTGGAACCTCACTCTGTGAGATGAGGAAGGGCAATGAGCAGGGAAAGGGGCAAGAATTATGGAATTATCAGGATGGGTCCTCCCCGAAATGGCCCCCAGAGACACTTCCTCCCCAAGCCAGACTGGCCATGCCAGGACAGGTTCAAGAGACCTGTTTTGACTCTTCTGGTGCTGGGAAGAGAGAAAGGGTGGATGCACTTCCTTGGCATACAGGGCCTCCCAGTTTCACCCAGCTTTCCTGGGTGGAGTATCGTGAACCCACACACACACACACACACACACACACACACACACACACACACACACACCCCTTAGAAGGACCCTTTTGTGGAGAAGAATTCCTAGCTTGGGAGGTCACTCTCACAGACAGAGGTTACTCTCTACCTAACTTTGGTCGCTTCTATCAAGTCTTTTTTCACCCTCTCTTCCCACAAGCAGCATCTCCAAAGCCCTGGAGCCTACCTTGACACTGGAATCCCTGCTTCCCGAAGCCCCTGCAAAAGCAGAAGGAGGCAAGTCAGGCAGCCTGAGGGACCCAACCACCAGCTGGTTCTCCCCCCACCCCCAGAGTCATCCCCCTCCTCCCTCCCCCTGTCCCAGGTGCAACCTCTCAGCCACAGGCGGGTGCCCCAAAGTCTTCCGCCTTTGAGGGGTCAGATGGGAGCTCGGTGGTAACCCACTCACTCGCGCAGAGCTGAGGAGGCTGCGACCACCAGGTGGCGGGATACGGGGAGCGTTTCAGCCCGGGTGGGGGCGGAAGGCAAGTGGGAGATCTGCCGGTACGATGCCCCGAGTACTTTCGGGGAAAGAGAAAAGATAAAGATGCAGAGGAGAGAGTGACCCCGCGGCGGTGGTGTCCCCGGGGGCGCTGGGAAGGGAGAAAGGGCGCCCCTACGCCTGGAGGGACGAGAGGAGGAAAGGGGCCGGCAGTGATGCGAAGGGGGAGGAGTGAGGAGTCGAAAAGGGAACCCAGGCCCTCGGGGAGGCGCAATAAGAGCGAGCACAGCGCGCTGCTCGGGAGACACAGAGCAGGGGAGAGGGTGCCCCGAGCCCGCAGGAAGATAGAGAGGACACCCGAGGCGCTGCCCCCGGAAAGGAGGGATGAGGGTGAAGGCGCCTCGCACCCGGAAGGAGGCGGAGAGATAGGGAACCCCGGGCAGGAGGGCACCCGAGGCGCTGCCCTCCAGGAGAGGGATAGACACCCGCGCTCTGAGTCAGGTGGAGGAAAGGCGCCCGCGCCGCCGCCCCTGGGCGCTCGGAGGCGACTGGGAGCAAGAGGGCAGGAGGCGCCGCACCGCGGGCCGTCTGGGACCGGAGCACGGGACGCTCGCAGGACTGCCCAGCGGGGAGTCCGGGGCTGGAGGGGTCCTGAGCGGAGCCCGGGAACGCGGGGTCTCGGCGGGGCTGCTCGTCCCTCCGGGGCGGAGAGGGGGGTCCCCGCGCGCGGCGCTGCCCTCGGGGCCCCGGGAAGGTGCCCTGCGCGGCGCGCTCTCACCAGATGAAGTCGGTGCAGTGGCTGCAGAAGGTGGGCTGCTTGAAGAAGCGGGCAGTGAATTTGTGGTTCTTCACCTCGTGCACGTTCTTCTGCCGGAGGGCACCTTTGCGGGCGAAGCGCACGGTGCTCTCCTCGCCCTCGCTCGGCGGCGGCCCCGCAGCCGGGTCAGCCATCTTGCGCGCGGGGAGCAGGAGCCCGGGAGGTGCCGGCCCCGGGGCCGCGGGACCGCGGGCTGCGGGCCCGGGAGGCGCGGGAGGAGGCGGCCGCTGCTGCCGCCCGGGGCGCGGGCGCTTCCCCTGCGCCGGCTCTTGCGGCCGCGGCGCGCGGAGCTGGGGCTGTCACTCGCCCAGCTGCTGCCGCTCGTCCAGCTGCGCTTGGCACCGCTGGCCCCAGCTGCGGGGGAGGGAGGCGGAGCCCCGCTCAGGCCCCGCCTTCCTCATTTGCATCGCGCCCGGGCCCCGCCCAGCGCCGCCAGCTGCTTTGCATATCGGCACCCCGGCGGCCGCCCGCCTCCGGGCAAAGTGTTCTCAGCCGCAGCGCTGCGGCGCGGGAACCGCAGCCTGCGCGCATCAGACCCGCCGAGCCTCGCCCCCAAAGCCGTCCTCGGCCCGGGGCTGGCGCAGGGGATGAGCGCCTTGGATGACCCCCGGGAGAACCGAGAGCCGAGAGATCTACTGCGCGAAGGGCACAGGGGTGGGGTGGAAGGGGTGGGCGCCGCGAATGCCACCCTGGCCTCTGCAGAGAGACTGGTACCCATTCACCCCCCATCCATCCCATTGGTCTTTCTGCGCGCGTCTCCTGGAGGGATGGGCTCCCGCTGTCACTCATTCGGAAAGGCTTGTGGCTCCACACACTTACACACAGACACACACGTTCTGCAGAGGTAGGGGAGGAGCAATCTTTATTTTACGTATGTCTAACTCCACCACAAAGAAGACTCTTGGCTTTGCTTGCCTGCACTTTTAGAAAAGAACTCCCTGTCTTCTTTCCATCCCATTCGCAAAGTGACTCAGTTTCTCCAGCTGTAAAATGGGAGACGGAGGAAGAAATTTAAGTGGACCAATATTTCCCCAAATTTCATTCATTTCTGACTCATCTTCACAAATCCTGGTCTTACTTGTGCAGTGAAAAAGAAAAGTCTATCTGGTTTGATCTATCTGAGTTTGAATAGCAAGAGGCTTCTGTATTATTAAAATCTCTCCAGGTGCTGCTATCTCTCCAAAGTATCTTCGACTGAGGCCATCTTTTATTTGTTAAGAGAGGAAATTAACAAATGTGAGACAGATGTTAAAGACCATTAATATCCAACTGGGACTCTCTCTTCGATGGAATCTGAAGATAACTAAAAGGATAATAGGTGTCTAGATGTGTAATTCAGTGTTATTTAGTGCCCTGTCCATGCACAGTACTCACTCCCCTACCTTGCCCCCAACTCTGGGAATCCAGAGCTGCATTAGATGGTGAGCTCCTTCACCAGACCTAGGGGGTTGCTCACCATCGTATCACCCAGCACCAAGCTCAGCACCTTACACCTCCCAAGAGACCAATAAATATTGGTTGAATGAGTGGGTGAACCAATGAATGAATGAAGACTTAAAGAACAGCACCTCTTGCCCCAACTTTTTCTTTTTAGTTCACATGTCCAGATTCTGACTTCTCTAGGAAAAAAGATTTAGCTAAATGGAGCCTGCATTCCTACACTATCTTGTTCCTTTGTTCGTTCAATCAACAAATGTGTGTTGAGCACCTACTATATGCCATTTTAGACCCTGTTAAATAAACCCTTGTGGAGTTTATAGTCTGATGGAAAGGGAGGTGGACAATAACCTAATCAATTAACAATCTATACTAGATGGTATAGAGGTTAATGCTGTAAAGAACACCCAGTGGGTGTTCAATAATAAGTACCAAGCGCCCGATGGGTGTTAGGTACTTGTACTGTCTTCTTTAGTCCCTGCCACAATCCTATGTAGCTTTTTTTATGAATAAAGATGGTGAGGCTCAGAGTGATTAAGATATACACTCACAGTCACACTGCTGCTGAATGGCGGTTAGGCTGGCCTATCAACAAAGCACAGTGGTGACAGAGAGGTGAACCCCAGTAGTGACAGATGAAGGAGGTCAGGATGGAGTTGAACAAGCTCAGGTCCCACTATGACAATTTTGCCTGGAAGCTGCTGAGTGGTAAGTCATTATTAGGTAGCATATAGAGAATGATGACTGCAATAATAGAATGTCCCTCCCCTGCATAGTAACTCAAAGGTAACGAAGGAAAAAATAGCATTCACTTATAAGGTTGACATGTTTGGGAAACTGGATGTGCTTGTCTATTATTAGTCCTTTAAGGGGCCCCACCACCTCCAGGGAGGCTTGGGAAAACATCCCAGGAGACATTGCTGCTGAAGTAGCTTTCCTTTGAACTGATGAGCTGGAAGCTCACAGCCCACATCCTGCCTTTTGAATGAAGTGCCCTGGATGACTTTGATTTGTAACAACAAACAGTACCTCATGGCGCCTGGGCCTGGAGATGCAAGGGTTGGTGGATGGAGAAGAGCCACTCAGTTCCTGAAGGGGGTACACTAACTGAGGGTGGGAAATGTGGCTCCCATTGGACCCAGATTCCTGTAGGTCAGGGGTGTCAAACTGGTGGCCTCTGATGCTCTTTTTTTTTTTTTTTTTTTTTTTTTTGCTGGCCCAGTGAATTGTTTCTTTTTAGTTCACATGTCGTAGAATTTTACCTAAATGTCCAGATTCTGACTTCTCTAGGAAAAAAGATACAGCTAAATGGAACCTACATTCCTGTGCTTTCTTGTTCCTTTGTTCGTTCAATCAACAAATGTGTGTTGAGCACCTACTATATGCTGTTTTAGACCCTGTTAAATAAACCCTCGTGGAGTTTACAGGGAGGTGGACAATAACCTAATCAATTAACAGGTCTAAACTAGATGGTGTAGAGGTTAAGGCTGTAAAGAAAAATAGAGCATGGTGAAGATGGAAGAGTGATAGCAACCAAGGAAAACCTTCACGATAGGGTACAACTGAGCAAAGGCCTGAGTAGAATGAGGCGAGCCATGGGACTATATAGGGGTAGTCAGAGAAAACAGCAAATGCAAAGAGCTTTGGGGAGATCAAGCTTGGCATATTGGAGAAATAGCAAGAAGGTGTCTGTGACTGGGGTGGCCACAGAAGGGAGAGCACTCATGAGATAAGGTCAGGCATGTAGCAGGGCTCACAGGGCCTTGTAGGTATAGTAATGAGTGGATTCTTTTTTCTTTTGAGTCTGGGTCTTACTCTGTAATCCAGGTTGGAGTGCAGTGGCATGATCATGGCTCACCGCAGTCTCTTCCTCCTGGACTCAGGCGATCCTTCTGGCTTAGTCTCCCAAGTAGATGGGACTACAGGCACATACTACCATGACCCAACTAATTTTTTTTATTTTTTATAGAGACTAGGTCTCGCTATGTTCCCTAGTCAGGTCTTGAGCTCCTAGCCTCAAGCAATCTTCCCACCTTGCCCCCCCCCCCCAAAGAGCTGGGATTACAGACATAGGCCATTACCAGCCAAGAGTTTGGATTTTATACCAGTGGGTGGGGAGCAGAGGAGTGGCCTGATATGACATGGTTTTGTTTTGTTTTGTTTTAAGATTATCCTAGCTACTCTGTGGAAAATAGACTATAGAAGAGAAAAAGTAGAGGAAGGAAAAGCAGTGAAGAGGTCAATGGAATAGATGAGGCAGGAGATGAAGATAGCATGGTGCCACCTGGAGCTACAGAACAGCAGCTCCCTGTATAGACTGGGCATGAGCCCTCCATGTCACCAGACCCCCCACCTGGTCCACTCTGCTCATAGAGGGATGAATGCTGGTCACTTAAAAGATTTCAGAGACAATGAGGAGGCAGACTGACCTGGCTGAAAAATGGAGTCCAAGCTGTCTTCATTCCAGACCTGTGGCTGTCTTAAAAAAATTATCACAAAACCAGGTGATTTGGAATGGGATTAAAAAATGAATAAATAATAAATATAATATTAACACTTCTTATAAAAATAAGAAAAATATATTCTCTCGTATTTCTGGAGGCCAAAAGCCATAATTAAATGTGTCAGCGGGGCCACACTCCCTCTGGAAGTTTTACAGAAGAGCTCTTCCTTGCCTCTTCCAGCACCTGGTGGTTGTCATCACTGCTTGGCTTCTTTGGCTTGTGGCCATATTACTCCCGTCTTCCTCTGTCTTCACATCACCTTCTCCTCTGCGTGTCTGCCTTCTCTCCTTCTGTTTGTCTAATCTCCCCTGTGTATCTCTTATAAGGACACAAGTCATTGGGTCTAGAGCTTACCTGGATAATCTGGGATGATCTCTTCATCTCAAAATCCTTAATTTAGTTGCATCTGCAAAGTCCCTTTTCCAAATAAGATAACATTCACAAATTCCAGGAATTACAAAATGGACATATCTTTTGGGAGGCCACCGTTGAAGCCACTACAGTGCAGCCAGGCTCGGTGACTCAGCCTGTAATCCCATGCTTTGGGAGGCCAAGGTGAGTGGATTGCCTGAGGCCACGGGTTCAAGACCTGCTGGGGTAACTTGGCGAGACCTCATCTCTATAATAAATCAAAAAATCAGCCGGGCATGGTAGCACATGTCTGTAATTCTGGCTACTCGGAAGGCTGAGGCGGAAGGATTGTGGCTCAGTGGCCGCCGGAGCCCAGCAGGTCGTGGCTGCAGTGGCCGAGAGCGGCCACTGCACTCCAGTCTGGGCGACAAAGTGAGACTCCAACTCAAAAAAAAGAAAGAAACCACTACAGTGGATAACCCTGGGCAAGTCACTTCCTCCCTCTGTGTCTCATTTTTCTCCTCTTCAAAGCAGGGTAGGCATGGAGTCATTTGCCTTCCAACTTTTATTCTAAGGCTGCACTCTTCAATACAGTTGTCAGTAACCACATGTAGCTGTTGAGCATTTGAAATGTGGCTAGTCTGAGATGAGATGTGATTGCAAGTGTAAAATGTGTTCTAAAATTCAAGCATGCCATATGAAAAAGAATGTAAAATGCCTCATAGTTTTTATTTTTGTTGCATGTAGAAATTATAATATTTTTGATATAGTGAGATCAGACAAATTTCATTTCACCTGTTCGTTTTTGCTTTTTGTAATGTGGCTACTAAAAATTGTAAAATTATGCATGTGGCTTGCATTATATTTCTTTGAGCAGCTCTTTCCTGAAGAATAGACTTAAAATATTAAGTAAACTAGGACAGGGGCAGTGGCCATGACTGTAATCCCAGCATTTTGGGAACCCAGGCAGGAGGATTGCTTGAGCCCAGGAGTTTGAGACCAGCGTGAGCAACATAGCAAGACTTCATTTTTTAAAAATCTTTTAAAAAGTTAGCCAGAAGTGGTGGCACACACCCGTAGTTTCAGCTACTCAGGCAATAGAGTGAGATTCCAAATCAAAAAATAAAATAAAATAAAAATTACATTAAGAAAAAACAGGCTGGTGTGGTGACTCACAGGTGTAGTCCCAGTACTTTAAGAGACCAAAGCAGGGGGATTGCTTGAACCCAGGAGATCAAGCCCAGCCTAGGCAACACACACACACACACACACACACACACACACACACACACACA